TTTTTATCGTGATATTTAAAGTAAATGGCATGGTGTCATATGTCGTTATTACTCATGTTCAGGACATTCATGATTTTGCTTACTAAGCATTGGCTTATGTAGTTCTTGCATTGTAGGTGAACATGGAACTACATAGAGAGCATGGCTAGCTGTGGAGCTCCTACAGGATTCCAGAGTTCGATGTACATGGATGACGACCTGTAGGGTTATTTTGTAGGCTGCCATCTGTAGGGTTATATTTTGAAATCCTATATAGCGTACTATTGAAATGGTCTGTAGACATGTTTATAAGCTCTGAATATATATGTTGGATTATGGCGATATGATTTTGGGTTTCGATATATTATATGATCGTGTCACAGATGATTAGAAGTTAACAAACTCGAAAAAAAATATATGTAAAATTCTATGTCTAGGTTGTGTATAGATATCAATATTAATTTGGGGGGGTGTGACAGAGAGTGGTATCAGAGCGAGGTTATAATTCTGTAGACTGTCCATGTACATGATCTCGGAATATGAAAGAGCACAGCTATGCCAGTAAGTTTTATTTGTTGCATTATTTTTGCATATTTCATGAATGATATTGGCCAACCTTTAGTTGTAGCCATGGTGAGAACCAGAGATGCTAGTAGTAGTAGAGCTAGAACTCCGGGGCAAGAGGCATCTGTTCAAGATGACAGTCGGGATGTTGTTATTGATAGGCTTACAGAATTAGTTGAGCGCCAATCTCAACAAATTCAACAATTAATACAACAAAGAGAAAGGGAAGAAAAACAAAGGGCGAAATTCTTACAACCACAACAAAGGGCTGAACATATTGATACAGTTGGAGAAAGATTTAGAAAACTAAACCCTCCAATATTTGAGGATGCATTAGATCCACCTGCAGCAGAGGATTGGTTGAGAACTTTAGGGATATATGTTCAGGTATACGAGAGTTTCAGAAGTAGGAAAGGTAGTTTGTGCTTCCTTTATGCTATGAGGTAGTGCTGGACATTGGTGGGATACGATGAGTAGCATTGAAGATGTAAATGCCATGACTTGGGAGAGATTTAAAGAGTTATTTCGTAATAAATATTTTACAACTCCTGTTCGAGCCATGAAGATGAATGAATTTATATAGTTAAGACAAGGAGGGATGACAGTAGGAGAGTATATTCGTAAATTTGAACAACTATCCAGGTTTGCTACCCACATGGTTAATACTGAGGTACTAAAGGTAGAAAGATTTCTTGAGGGGCTAAGACCAGAACTATATAGAGACGTAAGCATGGCAAGAATCCTAGATGTTTCATATTCTCAAATTCCGGAGAGAGCCTTAGTTGCAGAACAAGCCGAACAAAGGATTAGTCGTGCTCAAGAGGCTCGTCGACAGTTTAGGCAAGGTCAAGGACAGCATTGGCCTAGAAAAGATAAGAAAAGGTCTTTCCAAGGACAGAATCAGAAGCCTAAGTTTCAACCGAGACAAGGACAACAACATTGGGATCAGGGCAAACGTCCAATGATAGATCAAGGAAAAGCCTCAACAACACAACCATCTTGTCCCAAATGTGGTGGACAGCATACTGGAGCATGTCCTATAGAGACTAGAACATGTTATGTTTGTGGAAAGATGGGACATCTTGCTAGAGCATGCCCAGGTAATCCAAACCCTATGGAGCAAAAGAAAGTGCCAGCTAGGGTGTTTACTATTACCAGATCTGATGCTGAGACAAATCCATCCGTGGTAACAGGTAAATTCTCTATTTTTGGCATCACAGCACTTGTACTATTTGATTATGGAGCTACACATTCATTTGTTTCTACCGAGTATGTGAGAAGGCTGGGTAGGACACCTGATATACATGAAGTCAGTTATAGTGTAACTATTCCATCTGGAGATGTACAACAAACCAATCTAATTGTAAGAGCATGTGCGATCCTTATAAAAAATCGAGAGCTCTATGCAGATTTAATTGTGTTAGAAATGAAAGATTATGATATAATTTTGGGTATGAATTGGTTGTCAAAATATCAAGCTAGTATAGATTATATGAGGAAGTCAGTAACCTTTCAACCTTTGGGAAATGAGCCATTTACATTTATTGGGATCGAAAAAGATTTTAGAGTTCCAACCATATCGGTATTGAAAGCACAAAGGTTACTAGATAGTGAGTGTGCAGGGTATTTGGTTAGTGTTAATGCTATTGAAGCACAACACAATCCGAATCTTAGTGATGTGCCAGTGGCACAAGAATTTCCAGAGGTATTTCCTGATAATTTACCTGGGGTACCACCAGATCGTGAGATAGAGTTTGTAATTGATTTAATTCCAGGAACATCTCCAAATTCCAAGGCTCCATATAGAATGGCCCCAACTGAACTAAAAGAGTTGAAGTTACAATTACAAGAGTTGTTAGATAAAGGTTTTA